TTCTATCAGTGAATGGCGGCTTCTAAATCTGACCTGTCCCAGCTCTCGGGCTGGGCCTGTGGACTGACCCTGGGCAGCTATTACCTTGCACTGTCAGTTATAAATAAATAAAACACCCTTACTTTCTCCAGAGCTTTACAGTTTGCAAAGCACTTTCACTTCCATCATCTCATTTATCCTTCTTACCCCCACTTGATGGAGCGGGAGTGTCTGGGTGGAAACCGCTTAGGGCTCTGTGTTCAGAGATCCAGCTGTGCAGGCATGGTGCCAACGCACCTCAGACAGTCCCTCCTCTTCTCTCTTTCTCCGGTAAGCTAAACGTTTGGCCGGGAATGGTCCCTGGCATTCCAACTCATGTGTAATGGATTTGGGCCGTCAGAGGCTCAGGGAACGAACCCCTTTGAGGGCTGAAATCCACCGATAAAAAGGGGGGGATTCTGGGTACATTAGGTCTCCAGGCTGGTATCCCAAAATGTCTGGGGGGATACGGAAATGTCCTTGGATGTCGGACGCTTGATACAGATGGTGGGATGGGTGGAGGTGGGATGGGGAAGAGATCATTATGTCCAGCCCCTGCCTCCGTGCCGGTTCTCCTCCCCCCGTAGATTAGAGCGTCTTCTGGATAGGGAAAGGGAGGACGAGATGGAGCTCGTGGCCTTGGGTTCCCTCCTGCGTCGCCCCCCGTAACTGCGGCGCCCCGCACGCACTGCTGACGCGCATCCCCAGCCATCCCGCCCCCGACTCCCGCTCCGCCCCAACATCGCGCAGGCGCAAGACCGGGCTGGAGCCAGAGAACGCGCCCTCTCGTGGCAGACTGGCCGAGTCGCAGTCTTTGTTGTTGCGCTGGAGGCGGTAAACGGGACGGGGGAGAAAGATGTGGGTGGAGTCTGGGAGGCAGATGCGAGAATCAGATCACAATGACGAGAAGCCCTTTCCTTTGTCCCTCACGGCAACGTATAGATGCGGATAAAGAAAACACGGCCTCAGACGTCAAGAGACTTAGAGACAGGTGCATAGGGACTGAAGCTGAATGAGACACACTGGACAACATTCATTCATTCATTCGTTCATTCAGCAAACATTCACTGGGATGGGGAGATACGGGGACAAAGGACCAGAGGGCTTATATTTAGGCACTGGTGGGCAGAGACTGGGCAGAAAGTTGGAGAGACGGATGCGGTTGTCAAAAAGGCGAGGACAGAGAAGCCACTAGCTCAGGGCAGGGCTGGGCCACAGGAGTGAGGCAGAGGCCGGGGAAGTCCTGGTGGAGCCTGCAGCCTGTGGCATGGTGCGGGCACCAGCTGTGCGAGGCGGGGTGCGAGCCCCAGTCACCCAATCTACAGGCCAACACCTGTGCCCCTCCAGCTCCTCCGACTCCTTCAGTTCCCCCAACCGACGCCCCAACTGGGGAGGGCCAAATGGAGAGCTAAGATAGGCAATGTGAGCACCAGGCGGGACCGATATGTGGGATCCATGCATTCATCATTCTACTACTAACAAAAAGCCCGGACTGGCCAGAGTTTGGAGGATGCTGGGAATCAGCTCTTTATTCTGAGACTGGTTAATACAGGAAGAGTCCAGCGTTTCTCCTGTCTTTCTTATACCAACTTTCCCACTCAGTAACCAAATTGCAAGGGGCAGTTTCTGTCTATAATTTTTCCAGCTAGTAAAGGAAGGAGTGATCAGAGTGATCAAATTTGAATATCACTATTTTGCACACACACGCACAAAATAGAAAGCTGATGGCAGAGGCACTGACCCTGCTAAGACCACAGAAACGCATGATGCGCCTTCAAATGGAATATCGCTGCCACCACCTGTGAAGTGGTCTCAACAAGGAAACTGAATGTAAACCTTATCAGGCCTCTAAATGCAACTACAGTTAACAGGAGATAACAATGTACAGGAAATACAATGTATAGGAAGTATGGAGGTGGGAGGAACCTGCTAAAAAGCACCATAGAGATGCAATCAGCAAAATCCAGAGGGCAGAAAAGTACAGAAGAAATGATCTGGTTCCTTCAAGGAAAGAGAGAGAGGAGGGAGGGAAGGAAGGGAGGAAGTAAGGAGGGAAGGAAGGGAAAGAAGGATGAACCTCCTTTGGGAGGTCGAGGTAGGTGGATTACCTGAGGTCAGGAGATCAAGACCATCCTGACTAACATGGTGAAACCCTGTCTCTGCTAAAAATACAAAAATTAGCTGGATGTGGTGGCTCATGCCTGTAGTCCCAGCTACTCAGGAGGCTGAGGCAGGAGAACTGCTTGAACCAGGGAGGTGGAAGTTGCAGCAAGCCGAGATCGTGCCACTGCACTCCAGCCTGAGTGACAGAGTGAGACTCCATCTTAAAAAAAAAAAAAAAAAAAAAAAAAAAAAAAGAATAAAGAGTCCTATCAATCATCAATCAGTTGCAATGTGTGTACCTTCTTTGTATCCTGATTGGAACAAGTACACCGTAAATATATACAAATATATATATATATATATATATATGAGAAATTGGAAATTTGAACACTAGAAGTTTGATATTAAGGAAGTTTATTGATGATGTTAATAACTGAACATGTTGTATGACTACATTAAAAAGAATTATTATTTAAAGACACATACTGAAATATTGATGGATGAAATTAATTGGGAGGGGTATAGATGAAACTAGATTGGCCATGAGTTGATAATTGTTGAAGCTAGGTAACAGATACATGAGGCTTATTATAGTATGCTGTAAATTTTTCAAACTAAGTTTAAAGACCCTGTGACCCCCCCCCTTCCCACCCCTAGGCCCAACAGACAGAGGGTGCTGTGTGTTACAAGCAGCAGGTTGCAATCCAGACAACTCTGAGTGGGAAGTTCCTCTGAGGGCCGCGCGGCCTGGGGAGGCTTTCTGGGGACTTTCTGGCTTGTGGGGCAGTCCCTGGCACCCCTGAGTTGGACAGGGAGGATCAGATGGGGAAGTGGCTGCAGCTTTTCATTAAGGAAGGCTGGTCTCTGTGGGCCTGGTGACACTGGAGCCAGGCACTGCTACCTTAAGACAGCTGAGTGGGTGGCTCCGAAAATAGCCAGGGGATAGCAGAGGGCAGGGGGAGAGTCACATGGAGAAGCTCAGGCGTGAGGCTGGGCAGGTGCCCAGGTGCTGGTGCTTCTGCCTGCTCCGCCAGAGCCCTCGGACTCTCCCTCTGCCTCCAGAACTTTCCTTCCTCCCTCCCTCCGTCTCTGAGAAGGCAGAGAGATGCCCAGGTGATGCCTGGACAAATACTGCCTTGCCTAAGGGGATGCTGACTCTTGGAATTTGGTGGCTCCCCAGGGATGGGCAGGTCAGTCAGGTGGAGAGAGAGAGAGGAAGGGACAAGGACTGAGTACACTGCCTACCAGTCACCCCATCTGCAGGCCAACACCTGTGCCCTTAGGCTGGACCCAAGCGATCCTTGCTTGGGGTCTTTTGTTGTCATCTTGAGGAATGCTCACACAGGCACCAAGGGTTTGGGAGCCCTGGCAGCCATAGGTCCCTACCCCCTTCTCAGGGCACCTGGGGAGAGTGCCCCTGTGCCTGCCCTGAGTGGGAAACCTGGGGAGAGAAGGAAGCCCTGCCCCATCACCCCTAGACTGAGATCCTTTGGCAGAGGCAGGAAGGAAGGGGAGGCAGGGCCGAGCAAGTTCTTTGGCTGCTGTCATTGACTGAGTCAGGCACTGGGCTAAGCCTTCTGCATGCATTCAACTTCTCAGCAACGTGGCCTTGGGGAAGGTACACGCCCCTGTGCCTCCGTTTTATCACCTGGTAAATGAATGGGTACAGTATTCATACCTGCCTCACAGGACTGCCGAGGGGTGGAACGAGGTAATATACTTAGACATATGTAAGACCTTCAGCACAGCAGCCGGCAGGGCTAGCTGGTATTACCCACTGGCAGGTGACGTCCACGTGGGCAGAGGTTTGCTTGTCTTAGGGTTCCTTTTGCTCAGCAGCTTCCGTGCCTGATGCCTAGCAGGTGCTCTGTAAATAGATGCTGCATTCATTACTTTGTGAATTCCTCATAATGACGCCAAGAGGCAAGCACTCTTCTTGCCAGTTTATAGTTGTGGAAATGGGCTAGAGGGCAAATGGCACGCTTAAGTCCGCATCCCCAGCAAGTGGCCAAGGTGGGACTCGTGCCCACCTCCAGGCCTCGGAGCCTGTGCGCTGAGCCCTGACTCCACAGGCCAGAGAGGGCACCTCCTCCACTCAAATGTCTCCACCTGGTTGGTCCTGCCCAGGCTTGCCGTCTTCCTAGACCTCCATGCTGAATTGTTTGGACTAGGGATGAGGGCTGGGTGGATGGCACCTACATTGCTGTTAAGGAAGCTGTCACCAGCCAGCTACACCTACTGGTTGCCAGGCCCTGTGCCAGGCCCAAGGATACAAACATGACAAGATCCCAGTCTTCGAGGAGCTTGGAGCATCAGCTCCAGCCCACAGTGCGGTGTGGTAGGTTGTGCCCAGGAAAGCACGCAGGGGCTAAGGGCAGCCCAGCCTGGCCCAGCAGAAGAAGGGAGGTCAGAAAGCCTTCAGAAAGGAGAGGACATCTGCGCAGTCTGGAAAGGCGATGGAAGTTTTCTGCTTGGATGAAGGCGGGAAAGGAAATCCAGGCAGAGGGAACAGCCTGGGTGATGGCATGCAGAACTGAGAGTCTGCCAAGCTAGGCAGGGGCAGAATGGGCAGGGCAGGGGCCTGGGGTCGGGAGCGGGGGCAGAGGGTGAGATTCTAGACCAGCTGGCTGGGTTCAGTAGGGCAGGAAAGCCACCGCACCGACTGGGATGAGCTAGGAACTCAGGGGCCATGAGGGCCGTTAGAATTTTAAGGGAGGATGGAGGTGGTGGGTTGGTGGTTTAGAAAACACTGTGGCCACTGGAGGGGACGATTGGAGGGACGGGGAGTGTGCGGAGGGCGTCCATCCCAGATTTGGTGCCTGCTCTGGGGGGAGGGGAGGCTGAAGCTGGGACCCAGCTGCCCTGAGCCACCTCCCTCCCTCCCTCCCTCCCTCCTCTCCACCCTACCCCTGTCTCTGTCACTCACCCGCGGGCCTGGCCGGGCAGCCATGGCTGTGGTGCTCATCTGGACTCCTCTCCTCATGGGTAAGTTGGGGCCTTGTTCGCGGGGAGGCCTGGGATGAGGGGTGGATTTAGGGGTGGTGAGATGGAGGTATGGAGGGCCTGCAGAAGAGGGGTTGGCAGGAGTGAGGCAGGAGCCAGAAGGGCTTTGGGGGGCTAATGCCGTGACCCGCTGGGATCCAGGGAATGGGGCCGGGAGCTGGGCTCTGGGAAGAGGGGGCTGGGAGCTCTGAGGGCTGGAGGTGTCCTAGGGCCTGGGTGGGTCTGACAGCATAGGCCTAGAGGATCGTGGGCCCTTTAAAGAGCTGGCTGGGCCACAGCTTCTAAGCCCAGACTAAATTTGGCCGTGGGAGGGAGGGTGGAGCTGGCAGCCCGTCCTCAGCTCCTCTCCTGGGCATAGGGTTCCTTTTGCTCAGCTGCTACGGCCTCTAGGGCAGGGCCTCTTCTTCCTTGGATGTTAGGGGAGGAAGGTGGGGACGAGTCCCAGAACGCTGCCCTTCCTCCTCCGGGTAGTGTTTCCTGTAGGCTCCTGCCCCCTTTTCCTCTCCTCTGGGTTCTTGGGCATTTAGCATGGGATTCTTTCCCAAGTGCCCTTCACACATACACACACACACACACACACACACTCTCTCTCTCTCTCTCTCTCTCTCTCTCTCTGTCTCTCTCTCTCTCTCTTCCCAGCCAAACATCAGTCCCTGCTCACTGCACCATTAACAGGGGCCTGAAACAAGGAGTGGAAAGGTTGCGGGAAAGGCTCCATTAACCCCAAATGGATGAAAGTCTGGGCGTTGTCACCAATTAAAATGTCTATCACAGCTGGGTGCAGTGGCTCACGCCTATAATCCCAGCACTTTGGGAGGCTGAGGTGGGTGGATCACGAGATCAGGAGTTCGAGACCAGCCAGACCAACATGGTGAAACCTCGTCTCTACCAAAAATACAAAAATTAGCTGGGCGTGGAGGTGCACACCTGTAGTCCCAACTACTCAGGAGGTTGAGGCAGGAGAATTGCTTGAACCCGGGAGGCGGAAGTTGCAGTGAGCCGAGATTGCGCCATTGCACTCCAGCCTGGGTAATAGAGTGAGACTCCACCTCAAAAAAATCAAAAAACAAACACTGTCTAGCACAACCAGGGCCTGCTCCCCTGCCCCACACCCCATCCCTTCCTGGGAGGTGGCAAAGAAAATGCTTCTCTTGCTTCCATAGGGGCTCCAAGGACTTGGTGGGGAAGGGAGCTTATCCCCTTCCCAGGACTGAGGCTGACCTGTGTGTTTGGGACTTGTGGGGTGCCCACAGGTCTCCTGGCAGGGCTGGGGGGCACCAAGGCCCAGCAGACCACGCTACACCCACTTGTGGGCCGTGTCTTTGTGCACACCTTGGACCATGAGGCGTTCCTGAGTCTTCCTGAGCACGATGGTGAGTGGCCTGCCAAGCACCCAGGCAGGCAAGCTGGGGTGCGCTCTGCAGGGCTCCTGCTGTGACTCTAATTCTCTCTCCTGGCTTCCACCAGCTGTCCCACCCACTGTCCGCATCACCTACCACGCCCACCTCCAGGGACACCCAGACCTGCCCCGGTGGCTCCGCTACACCCAGCGCAGTCCCCACCATCCTGGCTTCCTCTACGGCTCTGCCACCTCAGAAGATCGTGGGCGCCAGGTCATTGAGGTGCCGTTAGGGACTCTGAGACACTCACGGGGGGGCGGCCAGTGTGGCCTCCTAGGAGCAGCCCTTCCAGTCGGGATTGGGTGTTCCTTCACAGTCATACATACAATTTACATACCTCTAATTTGGTATCTGAGTCCTCTCCTGCCAGCCCTCCCCCGTCCCCCCTCCCCGCACCCTGCTCTGCCACGTTTCTCATCTAACATACCTCTCAGGTGTCTTTCCCATCCCCCAGGTCGCAGCCTACAATCGAGACAGCTTTGACACCACTCAGCAGAGGCTGGTGCTGGAGATTGGGGACCCGGAAGGTACCTCTAGCTGGGCCATATCCCTTCCCCACCAACGCTAGCCTTGGGGGAGGGCGAGGGGGCTGTGGATGGGAGAGGCTTGGAGGGGAGTGGAGCAGGGCATTCTGGAAAGTGGGGACAAGGTTTTAGGGAATGGGCTTTGGACTGGGATTCCAGGCTCTGGAGTTACCAGCTGTGTTGCAGAGACTATGGAGCCTTGGGTCATTGGGTCGTGATGGATGGGGCATTGAGGGGCCTGAAAGGGTTTGTGGGGAGGAGCTTCAGGGAAGCTTTGGGGGGCAGAGCTGGGCAGGGTGCAGCCTGAGGTGTCCACCTGGCCTTCCCAGGCCCCCTGCTGCCATACCAAGCTGAGTTCCTGGTATGCAGCCACGATGTGGAGGAGGTGCTGCCCTCAACACCTGCCAGCCGCTTCCTCTCGGCCTTGGGGGGACTCTGGGAGCCTGGAGAGCTTCAGCTGCTCAACATCACTTCTGCCTTGGACCGTGGGGGTCGTGTCCCCCTTCCCATTGAGGGCCAAAGAGAAGGGTAGGTGTGCAACCCAAGAGGACGTCCTGAAAGAGGAGGATGCAGCTTGTGGCAGACATAGAACAAGGGTCTCCCTAATTTCCAGATGGGGCTCTACCATGCCCATCTCCACTTCCCAGCTTCACACCACTGTCCACCCCCCTCTGGCTACACCTGCATCTTCTTGTCCTTCCGAAGCCCAGATCCTAGTTACCCTGAACTCTGTACTTCCTGGTGCCTCATGAGGACATACCAGATCCATCCATTAAAGGATATTCCTTGAGGGGGAGAGTAAGGACCCCCAGAAAAATGGGGTGCTCTGTGTAGTCTCACCATGACCTCAGATCTCTGGGAGGACTGTGACTCCTGCCAGACCCCAGCTGTGCCGTGTTCTCCTCTTAATCCTCCCTCCTAGCTGTCTCCCGATCCCATTCCCAGGTCATTGCCTACAATCAGGACAGTTTCAACCACCCCTGGCAGAGTGGTGCCTGGTGCTCCCAGCCCCCACTCTGCTGACAGTGACTTCTATCTTGTCCCAGGGTGTACATCAAGGTGGGTTCTGCCTCACCTTTCTCTACTTGCCTGAAGATGGTGGCATCCCCTGACAGCCACGCCCGCTGTGCCCAGGGCCAGCCTCCACTTCTGTCTTGCTATGATACCTTGGCACCCCACTTCCGCATTGACTGGTGCAATGTGACCCTGGTGAGGAGGGACCCTGGGTCCAGGGGTGGGGCAGGGCATGGCCCCATCACAGTCCACCTTCCCTCCCTCTGTGCTGCTTCCCACCTCTGTCTCTCTGATTGCTCCAGTCTCATTTCTTTTCTCTGATGCTCTCAATGTTACACACACACACACACACACACACACACACACACACACACACACACCCCACACGTTCTACCTTTCCCCACAAGGGGGCGACAGAGCCCGCAATCCACACGTGGGGTCTCCAACTCCTGGGCTCCAGACCTGCCCAGCCCAAGAGCTACATTACAGTGCAGTTCCCAAACCCTCTCCCCACCAAGGGCCTCTGCGTGACAGCTGTCTGCTTTTCTCTAAGGTGCCACCTAGCAAACCTGCTTACAACAAGGACTTGATAGCTCTTCACACTGTAAACCAAAGATGCTCACGACAGCTCTTTGGATACTGAGCTGAGGTTCTCAGGATCTCACTGCTGGGGTACTCTGTTCCTGTGAATTGGCCGACAGAGCAGGAACTCATTCAGTGTCCACAGCCAGGGACTGGTGATTGACAACATTCTTGAGCACTTGTTCTGTGCTTGGCACTGTCCCATCAGCCTGTTTTATGCTCTACAGGAGACAGGTGCTACTATTATCCTTCTGACTTTACAGGTGATGAAACAGGCACAAAGGGGCAGTCATCCTAGCTAAGGACTTGTCTGAGTCCGGCCAGGCGGCCAGACCCTAGAGCCGTGTGGTAACCAGTGCGCTGTCCTGCCTCTGCTGGACATTGTCTCCTGCCTCCTAGTCCTGGCTTGTCCTGCTAGGTCACAGGAACTGGGGAAGGCAGGCAGGAGGAAACCCTGTGGCTGCATGAGGTCATAGGAGGATGGCCCAGAACCCCTGCCCTGTTCCTAGGGGCCTCTGTGTCCAGCTAGCCACTTCCTGTGTCAGCCCTGAGCTCTCTGTGCAGGTGGATAAGTCAGTGCCAGAGCCTGCAGACGAGGTGCCCACCCCGGGCGATGGCATCCTGGAGCACGACCCGTTCTTCTGCCCACCCACGGAGGCCCCAGACCGTGACTTCTTGGTGGATGCTCTGGTCACCCTCTTGGTGCCCCTGCTGGTGGCCCTGCTTCTCACCTTGCTGCTGGCCTATGTCATGTGCTGCCGGCGGGAGGGGCGGTGAGTGTGGGCATGAGGGCGGGGGGCACCTGCCGGTGCGTGCCCCCATGGGACTCCCAGTGGCGCTTGTGCTGTGTGGGATCCAGACACTCTGGGAATGGGGTTCTCAGGCACAAAAGGAGTGCAGGGCCCCCTTCTAGGCAACTTGGGGCTTGAGACCTGCCTGACCTGGCACCAGGAGGGCATTGTGGATGATCACACACAGACCTCCACACACACAATGGTGCTCTGGGGCACCTTGGCGTGATGTCCAGAGCTGGGCTAACCATCTCCTTCACTTTTCCACAGGCTGAAGAGAGACCTGGCCACCTCTGAGTGAGTAGGGGAAAGCTGGGGTGGGATGGGAGCCCACCTAGACAGTTGTTGGACCCCCCAACGTATGCCATGAACAGCAGAGAAAAATAAATCACTCAGGGGTGAGGCTCACCCCCGCCCTTGACCTCTGAGCTCTAGCCCCGGGCTGGCTGGATGCTGGGCCTGATCTTTCCTGACTCTGCCTTATTATTTGCTGGTGTCCATAGAAGAATCTCTTGTGAGCCAGGTGTGGTGGCTCATGCCTGTAATCCCAGCACTTTGGGAGGCTGAGGTGGGAGGGTTGCTTGAGCCCAGTAGTTTGAGGCCAGCCTGGGCAACACAGTGAAACCCCATCTCAAAAACAACAAAAAAATTTAAATTAGCCAGGCGTGGTGGAGTATGCCTGTAGTCCCAGCTACTTGGGAACCTGAGATAGGAGGATCACTTGAGCCTAGGAGGTTGAGGCTGCAGTGAGCAGTAATTGTGCCACTGCACTCCAGTCTGGGTGACAGAGTTACTCTTTCCCAAAAAAAAAAAAAGAATAGCCTGTTGTGACACAGGGGAATGGGACCTGCTGCCTGAGAAGCAACTTAAGAGTCAGACACGTGGGGTCCAGGCCGGGCTCTGCCACACAATCTCCGTCACCCTTCTTTCTGGCTTCAGATGCTCCACCTACAAGATCATGTGGTTGGACTAGCTGGTGTCTATGAATGCTTCCAATTCCGCTAGCCCTTCCCAAATCCTTCCTCTTATTTTGCCCAGGTTTCCACTACTCATGGCCTTACCCCTCCTCTGTGTCCCCAACCCTCTTCCTCTCCCACTCCCCTGAACCCCAGAATCCAGGAAGCAGATTTGAAATAAGTTAGGCTCCTTTTATTCCCACTGCACTGAGCCAGTGGTGGGCTTGGCACTCCTGACTGCTTGCCCGGCCTGCCTCATTAATTGCGGTGGCATTTAGCCACCCTTCGAACCCCCCTGACAAGCTGCTTGTGCCCCTGTTTGGAGCCCAGTAGTGGCCTGCGCTGTCCAAAGTGGCGCTGCCCAGAGCGGGACTGCCTGGAGAGGCGCTGCCCAGAGCGCTGCCTCCGCCGCCGTTGTCTCTTGACCTTGGGCTTGGGCTTGGAGGCCTGCTTTTTGCCCAGCCTGAAGGAGCCTGAAGCCCCCTTGCCGGTCACCTGCTTGAGCATGCCCTTGTCCACCAGCCCCTTGAGCACACGCTTGAAGTGACAGGCATTTCGGGCCATGTCGTAGCCTGTGGTGGCAAGAGCCTTCTTCAGGGTGGCCAGGGACACACACTTGCAGGTCCCCTTGTCAGCCACAGCCCTCAGGATCACCTTGGACATGCTGGGCTTCTGGCAGGATTTGGGACAGGTGCGTTGCCCAGTTGCTGTCTTGCTAGGGGCCTCTGACATGCTGGCCTGCTGGCTTCCACCCATGGCAGTATTTGCCAGGGACAGCGGCAGAGTGTCTTTTTGCATCTCTTCCTGGGGTAGGTGAAGGGTCTTGGGTGTAAGGACCTCCAGGGTGGCTGGCAGTCTCCACTGGGCTGCTCCTTGAAGGATGGCTGAGGTGTGTCCCGGTTCCTGGTCCCCTCCGAGGCTTCTGCTTGGGCTCCAGCCCCTGCCTTCCCCTGGGTGGCCAGAGAGAGGACCAAGGGCGCTCACCCACTGTTGGCCTCTACAGACTTGTGCTCCTGGTGCAGGGGGTGGTGAGGTTATCTCTGTGGTGACCTCAGGGGGACATTGTGAGGCCACCAGAATTCTGTGTGGGTCACAGAGGCCCCATTGCTTCCTCCAGGGAGCAGTGGACAGGAGATGCCAGATGGTGGAGGTGTGTAACATGCCAGGTGTCCTGGGGAGGAGGGCTGCTGTGTGTGCCGCACGCTGCGCCTGCACGGTGCATGCACATGCCTACACTAATTTCATTTTTAAAAAAATTTTTAGGGAGAGGGTCTCACTTTGTCACCCAAGCTGGAGTACAGTGGCATGATTGTAGCTCACTGCAGCCTCAAACTCCTGGGTTCAAGCGACCCTCCCACCTCAGCTTCCTGAGTAGCTTGGACTACAGGCGTGCGCCATTGCACCTGGCCTGGCCCCCAGGTTTAAAGTCACCATTTTGACCCCACCATCTCAACCCACTGGATTTTTGAGCCTCTGGCTTGAGGAATACAAGCTTTGCAGGCATCAGGGTTATATCAACATTTATGAATTTTTACAGGAATATATTTTCCAGAGTGAACAGAGATGTAATTCCTTGATCTGCACGAAGTTGACTTAATTCCTCTAGCAACTTTCTATAGAAAGCAGCTAAAAGGCTTTGTTTTCATTTTCTGTTTTCATTTTTATAGAATTTTTCCCCATGGGGATCAGTGATTTTTCATGTACATTTCATATGGAAGATTTTATTCCTCATTTTTTTTGGATTGTGCCAAATTTAATCACTAACAGCTACTGCCATTGGGGATATCCTCTCATGACCAGTATTTCCTCCACGTCCAGCCTCCCCGGGTCGACTTTATAGCTCTGATGTTGTCAGAAAAATCTGCTGCCTCTGTCAATTTGAAATCAATAACCAATTTCACCACGTGCAATATTAGCCTTGGCTGGTTTGGATTTTGTGTTGATATACTTCTACAAAATCCAATTTTTCCCTCGTTCAATATCTGCCATTTTTCAGATTATCTACAAGTTATGATTCTGCTGCCTGCTTTTCTCCTAGATCAGATTTCAGCAGTTACAGAGTCCTCCAGGCCCCACGACCCTCTCCCGGGGATCTGTGTGCCAGAGGCAGTGCTTTCGGGACTGTGTGTTTGTGGTGGAGTGGGTGTGGGTGAGACCGGGCCACACGTGTGTGTGCGCATGCGTGTGCCTGAGGGTGCAGGAATGCCTGCCGTTCGTCTGCCCAAGTGCTGATGTGGAAGGACGTGGGGAAGCACTGCAGGGTCTGGCTTCTGCTCTTGCTCTAGAAAAACATCCCCAGCACATTTTTCCACCTGTGTGTTGCCAGAGTAATGAGGCCCAGATGTGAAGCTGGGAATAAGGAGGGGCCCACTGCTGGAGGCCTTCCTCCACCAGGGCCTCACCTGACCGGCTGTCTCCATCTCGGCATCCATCCACCCGTTGCTCTCTTTTCCCTCCGTCTCCCCTTGCCTGGGAATAGAAAATTGTGTTTCGGTCAACTCAGCTCACCAAATTCCAGACTCAAGAGCTCATCTTGACCCTCCCCTAGCCTTAGATGGTGACTTCACCTCTTCCTGCTGGCCAGACAGGACTTGATCCCACTCCCCGCAGGAGGAGCATGGCTCATTCAGCAGGAAGCTAGGTCTTTGTCTTTTCTGTAGTCTAAACTATCAGGCTCTAGCTGGAGTCCGTGTCCGCTAACTGGGACCTGAACATGGGTAGGGATCACTTTTCCTCCCTCATCTGATCAGTAATGAAGTGGCAAGTGGGGTAGCTTCAGCCCTGCCTGGGGCCCCAGCTTCTCCAAGAAAACCAATTCTTGGCTGGGCGCAGTGGCTCATGCCTGTAATCCCAGCACTCTGGGAGGCAGAGGCAGGAGGGTCCCTTGAGGCCAGAAGTTCAAGACGAGCTTAAGCAACAAAGTAAGACGCCTGTCCCTACGAAAAAGTTTTAAAACTTAGCCAAGCATGGTGGCTTGCACCTAAAGTCTCAGCTACTCAGGAGGCTGAGGCAGGAGGATCACTTGAGCCCAGGAGGTGGAGGCTGCTTGAGCTATGATTATGCCACTGCACTGAAGCTAGGCGACAGACTGAGACTCCATCTCTTAAAACTAAATAAATAACATAACATAATATAAAGCTCAGCAAACACTGGGCCCTGGAAGATTATGCTCCCTGTGGATGTCTAGTCATGTCTCCATATCCTGTGAGTGCTCACCACGTGGTAGGCACTATTCTAAACACTGAACCACATTTTCTCTTTTAATCTTCATAGCAATCCTAGGAGGTAGGTGTTTTTTCTTTTTTGAGACGAGTCTCACCCTGCCGCCCAAGCTGGAGTGCAGTGGTGTGATCTTGGCTCACTGCAACCTCCGCCTCCCGAGTTCAAGTGATTCTCCTGCCTTAGGCTCCCAAGTAGCTGGGACTACAGGCATGTGCCACCACGCACAGCTGATTTTTTTTTGTATGTTTAGTAGAGACGGGGTTTCATCATGTTGGTCAGGCTGGTCTTGAGCTCCTGGCCTCAAGTGATCCACCTGCCTTGGCCTCCCAAAGTGCTGGGATTACAGGTGTGAGCTGCCTGCCGCACCAGCCTGGAGGTAGGTGTTATGATCTCCATTTGACAGTTGAGCAAACTAAGGCGTGGAGTGGTTAAGCAACTTGCCCAAGATAGAGCCTTGAACCCGGGAGGCTATCTACACCCACAGCCCATGTCTCGACCGCTGGGCACTGAGCAGACACCATAGAGCTTTCTTTTTTTTTTTTTTTTTGAGACAGAGTCTCACTCTGTCACCCAGACCTGAGCATAGTGGCACGATCTCGGCTCACCGCAACCTCGGCCTCCCAGGCTCAAGTGATTCTTCTGCCTCAGCCTCCTGAGTAGCTGGATTACAGGCGCCCACACCATGCCTGGCTAATTTTTATTTTTGTTTTTGTAGAAACAGGGTTTCACCATGTTGGCCAGGCTGGTCTCCAACTCCTGACCTCCAGTGATCCTCCTGCCTCGGCATCCCAAAGCGCTGGGATTACAGGCCCGAACCACCGCGCCCGGCCCCATTGCGCTTTCTGTTTTTCTGCCCCTGAATCATGTGTTTGAGTCTCTTCCCCATAAGTGGTGGGAGGACTGCAGGGTGGCTAAGAGGCAGCGCCAGGCTGCACGCCGGGGCAGCTGACTCCCAGAGCTGACGACTCCCCGCCCGTTCCTCCAGCATCCAGATGGTCCACCACTGCACCATCCACGGGAACACAGAGGAGCTGCGGCAGATGGCGGCCAGCCGCGAGGTGCCCCGGCCACTCTCCACCCTGCCCATGTTCAGTGTGCGCACGGGTGAGCGACTGCCTCCCCTCGTGGACAGCGCCCAGGTGCCCCTTATTCTGGACCAGCACTGAGGGCCCAGCCAGGTGGGTCTGGTGGGTGATGCCAGCTTTATTTCTGGGAACAAGATGACCTCCATCTCAAGGCTGGGGCAAATGGTGGGGTCTGGGGGAGGTCAGGGGAAGAGGCACGTAGACTTGCCTGCCCCTCTGAGGCAGCTGCTGGGGGTGCCCACCAGTGCCAGGGCTATGTCCCCAGTGCCAAGCACTCGGGGTTGGAGGGTCAGGATGGGGAGGGCAGGAGAACCGGCATCTGGCCCTCTCAGCCCTCTACTCTCTCTTCCCATAGTGGTTCCAGGTCCAGCCCTGGCTTCATCCTCCCTTCTCTGTCCATTTGGCAAGCGGCACATCCCATCTGCTGATTCTGGCTCCTGGCCCACCTGGAACCCACCTGGAACAAGCAGGGAGATGGGGTGGGGCAGGGCGAGAGTGTGTGGAGTAAGGACATTCAGAATAAATACCTGCTGCTCTGCTCACATGTTGCTGCTGGCAGCCTCCCCCGACCTCACTGCCTCTGTTTCCCTTTGTGCTTTCTGGGAGGCCCTGCAGGCGGGCAGCACATGCCAGCCTCTGCCCTTTGCACCCTGGGCATTTTGTTGTTTTCTCGAATTCTCAGGAAGAAAGAGGAAAGGATCTACTATCTGCAGCCCTCCCATGAACCTGGTAGTGAGGGATGCCTGGATCATTAATCCCCATTTCATGGACAAGGAAACAGAGACCAAGGGAGAGTCAGTGACTTACCGAAGGTTACAGAGCAAGCAAGTGGCAAAGCTTGGATTTGACCCTGGCAAGTCTGCCTCCACTCTGCCTTCTGTAGGGTTGGGAGGTTCTAGAACAGGAAATCCAGGCCCTTATCTGCAGATTTCCTTGGCACCTCAAGATCCCCTGGAGGGAGAGTTCCTCTGTCTGTTGTATTTGAGGAGAAGCCAATCTAGATATGCAGAGAGGGGTCGGGCGCGGTGGCTCACGCCTGTAATCCCAGAACTTTCATAGGCTGAGGTGGGCAGATCACTTGAAGTCAAGAGTTCAAGACCAGCCTGGCCAACATGGTGAAACCCTGTCTCTACTAAAAATAGAAAAATTAGCCAGACATGATGGTGTGCACATGTAATCCTAGCTACTTGGGAGGCTGAAGCAGGAGAATCGCTTGACCCCAGGAGGAAGAGGTTGCAGTGAGCTGAGACCACACCACTGAACTCCAGCCTGTCAAAAAAAACTCCGTGTCAAAAAAAAAGAGAGGTGGAGAGAGGGAGGTTGGAGGGTCCCTGAATGCCCTAGGCTCAAGGACCCCTTGCCTTGCTGAGCTGCTCCGGAGATGGGCAGGGGTGCAGAGGACACCACACAGCCTGTGACCCTTGTTGGGCTGGGTGGCTCCAGTGCAGCTTGACCCCACACGAGCTTGGAAGAGCTCAGCTGGCAGTGAGGAGGCCTGAGCTTGTTTTTCCCAGGTGATTACAACCAAATTGGGCCAGTTCTGCCCTGATCACAGCCATCTGGCCACATCCAGGCTCAAATAGTCCCACATGAGGACAGGCCGGTGGCTCGGCCTGAGAGAGGCCCGCCTACTAGAGGGAGAGCTGGCAAGGCCTCTGCTAGCGGCACCTCCAAGACAACCCTCCTTGTCCTCTGCTGAAAGCCCCTGGCTCCCACATCCACACAACCAGCCCCTGACCGCAGGTTCTGTCTCTGCCCAAAGGGCACCCCTGAGACAGGTCTTCCCGGTCCCCTGTGGCCCCCCTTCCGCCCTGCGAGGACTTTCTGCTCTCTGAGAGGATCTGTACTGTTTGGGCTCACGTATTCCGAGTCCTTTTCTGCACTAGAACAAACGATTCTTTCAGCCTGCAGCAGGTGTGGCACCTGCACACAGTGGGTACTCGGGAAGGATGTTGTGGAGGGAGGCATGAAGGGGTGCCACATGTCTGGGTTTGCTCAGCGTTCTTTCTTTCCTTTAGAGCCAAGGTCTCACTGTGTTGCCCAGGCTGGTCCTGAACTCCTGGTCTCAAGCGATCCTCTTGCCTCAGCCTCCGGAGTAGCTGGGATGACTGCCATGAGCCACGGTGCCTGTACTCAGGGCTCTTAAGGAGGCTGCTCCCTCGTCGGGCGGTGAGCAAGGCCATTGCTAAAGCTTCTTCCATGATCTCCGGGGCTTCCCAGTATGTGGGTAACCCCCCATACAGGCACCGAGGAATGAGAGCTAAGCAGAACCCTGGCACAGCTAGGGCTTGAGGAATATCTCACTTTATAGTGTTACTACTCAGCTATTTCCTGTTATATAATCCTTTATATAATAACATATAAGTTTATAGAAATAGGGTTTGAAGAATCCCTTTATATAATCCTCTATATATAATCATATAATAGTTGATAGTATGAGGGCCTGAAGAATATTTCCCTGCATATATACCTGTAATTATATCTTAGTTCATAATCGGAGGAATGCCTAGAGTGGACACAGTACAGAGCATGAATTAAGGGATAAGCAGCTTATAATCGGAGGAATGTCTAGAGCAGACACAGTGCAGAGCATGATTTAAGGGAAAAAGAGTTATACCAGGACAAGACTCCATGGCCCAGGTGGCAGCGTTCAGTATCGTAAATATACCCGCTGTATGGCAGACTTGGGGCAAGAGCCACTCCTCCTGATAAAGGAGTTGTAGGACCTTGCTCCAGTTCTTGTGGAAGGCTGCCCTCAGACCGGCAATCCACCTTGGTGACTGTGAACTTTATCAGCTCTTGCTACTGTGCTGCTTGAAAAGCATCTTCCCATAGAACCCGCTGGAAGCCGCCAGAAGGTGGCGGTAACCTTAACAGCTCTGTCACTGCTATGTGACTTAAAGCAACCTCCTATAAATCTTCTTAGAGGTAGTTTGCCAATAGATAGAAGTATTGCACACTGCACCCTCTTCACTGCACACAGCCCACCTTCAAGCCTCGGTGACCTAATAGGGGTGTACCTCTTACTGCACACAGCCCTTGCCTTCATGGGAACGGGCCCCTTGCTGCGCACTGTCCACCTCCTGGCCTAGGTAATCTAATGGGGGTGGACCCCATGTTTTATTGCTCACGACCCTATCACTATCCTTAAAGATGACTTCACTCACTGCTCTGCCCCCTAACCTATACACAATAAATACTCATGCGTCTGGACATTTAGGGCCTTGCCTGACTCCACTTATAGGTGGCATGGCCCCCTGAGCCCAGCTGCGTTTTCCTTGTACTTCTGTGTCCTGTTTCTTTATTTCTCGGATCCTGCACCTCAACACAGCGTAAGGCTCACCCCACGACCCTGTGGGGCCCTCAGCCCTACATCAGTACTCCTCAGTTAGTCAATCAACTCATCAAACATTGGTTTCATGAGCATCTGCTGAGGCAGGCCAAGGAGCAGTGTATTGTACCCTGTTGTGGACCAGGTACAATAGCTCATGCCTGTAATCCCAGCACTTCGGGAAGCCGAGGTGGGCGAATCATGAGGTCAGGAGTTCAAGACCAGCCTGGCCAACATGGTGAAACCCCATCTCTACTAAAAATACAAAAATTAGCTGGGCATGGTGGCACATGCCTGTAATCCTAGCTACTCAGGAGGCTGAGGCAGGAGAACTGCTTGAACCCAGAAGGCAGATGTTGCAGTGAGCTGAGATTGCGCCATTGCACTCCATCCAGCCTGGGCAACAGAAGAGACTCCGTCTCAGGAAAAAAAAAAATACTAATGATCACCTGTTGAATGACTGGCTCTTTAGGTGCCCACCCATAGCCAAACGGGTTCTTTGACTAGTGGGTGCCTCTGGCTTCTCATTGGCTGTTTCTTTCTCCTGGAGGAAACCAGGAGTTGAGCAGACCGGAGGCTCCAGCAGCCAGCCTGCTGTCTGGGGCGGCTCCTCCTTCATCCCTGCTCCCTTGAGGAGGAGGCTGCCTACCCCTCCTCTCTGGGCTTGCCTCCTGCAGCCAGGAGCTCTTGGGCCTCCTGTGCACTTCCTGTGCTGGCCGGGGCTGGGAGGGTGCAAGGCCAGCTCCTCACTTCCTGGCTTTGCCTTGGGGTCTTGGCAGCGCCTTCCTCCCTGCTCAGCTCCAAGGAGCACACGGGAGCCTGGCTGCCGGCCTGAGAGGAAGTGGCCCAGACGAGTAGCGGGGAGGATGGCGTGCCTGCAGAGGACGCCGAGCTCTGCCTGGGCACACATGTCCAGAGGCCCCGGTGGCACGCCGGGAGGGCACAGACACTCAGTGCCTCCCCACTGGGCAGCAGCCCCTCCCTGACACACAAGATTCCACCCAGCAGTCACACCCCACCCCCACAGCCCAGGTCAAAGAAGGGCAGCCACTCCCACCGCCACCGGGAGACTTGGCCGGCTGCACACTCTACTCCACCCCTGTCTCCTCCAGTCCCACGATGGCATCGCCCCTGTGGCCCAGTGGGTGGCCTCCACCTTCCTTCGAAACACAGCACACATACGTGGCCTGACGCTCAGACATGTCCTCACCACCTCTCTATCTGCCAGACCTGGGGACTCAAGGCACCACCTAGGGCCAGCCTCAGTCCCCCACACCCCACTGCTGCCTGCTGCCTGGGAGCAGGACTGGAATCATGATTCTGCCACACCACAGCTGGCTGAGCCAGATGAGAGTGTTTACTCATAAGACAATCATCATAACGGCCTTGGGGATGTTGTGGGAATTTGTGGGAACAGGACAGTCTAGCAACTCCCAAGGTTGAAAACATTATTGCATACAAGTATTCATACCACTCACATGATCCCCGAGGCCAGAGGTCCCTGGGGGGTCCCTGGGGTCTCCCTGGCCCCTAAGATCCAGGCTGAATGAACTCCATTTCCACCTGCGCCTTGTGAAAAGTTCAATCCCTTCCTGTGAATTACGGGTGGAAGCCTAAATTCCTGTGATCTTTGGGACAAATCTGCTGCCTAGAGCTGTGCCATCTAGTACAGCAGCCTCAGGCCACACAGCTACTCGGCACTTAAAACGTGGCTGGTCCAAACTGAGCTGTACCATCAGTGTAGTGGTGAAATGATCAGATTTGGGGATACATTCAGTTAAATAAAAAGCATTGGTAGGCCGGGTGCGGTGGCTTATACCTGTAAACCAGCACTTTGGGGGGCACAGGTGGGCAGATCACGAGGTCAAGAGATTGAGATCATCCTGGCCAACATGATGAAACCTCATCTCTACTAAAAATACAAAAATTAGCTGGGCATGGTGGTGCATGCCTGTAGTCCCAGCTACTCGGGAGGCAGAGGAAGCAGAATCACTTGAACCCGGGAGTCGGAGGTTGCAGTGAGCCGAGATCACTCCACGGCACTCCAGCCTGGCGACAGAGTGAGACTCCATCTCAAACACACACACACACACACACACACACACACACACACACACACACAAAACAAACAAAAATTGCTAAAATTAGTTCTACCTGTAGTTATTTATTTATTCTTTTGAGATGAGGTCTCACTGTGCTGTCCAGGCTGGAGTGCAGTGGCGTGATCATAGCTCACT